TTGTTTATTTTTTTTAATGTGGTGCTGAGAATCGAACCTAGGGCCTCGCACATGCTAGGCGAGCACTCTACTGCTGAGCCACAACCCCAGACCCCCTCCCCGGACCCCGTCATTATTATTTTGTAGGCCTGTGTTAGTTAGCTTTCTGTCACTGTTAACAAGTACCTGAGAGAGCCAACTTATAAAGAGAAAAGGTTCATTGTGGCTTATAGTGTTGGAAGTTGCTGTCCATGGTTGTTGGCACTGTTGCTTTGGGCCTGTGTTGAGGCAGCGTCTTCTGACAGGAGTGTGTGGTAGAGCAAAGCCTCTTCCCTCATGCCCAGGAAGTAAAACTAAAGAGAAAGAAGAAGGGGTTGGGGTCCCAATATCCCCTTCATTCCTTCAAAAATACACCCCAGTGACCTCCCTCTAGGCCCCACCTCTTAGTTTCTACTATCAAGCTGAAGCTTAAGTCTTAAACACATGGGTCTCTGGGGAGCATTCCAGATCTAAACTAGAGCAAGGCCTGACCCTGCTTCTGAGCATAGAAGTTAAAAAGAATAAAAAGAAAAGCTATAAGCAAGAGTCAATGAATTTGGTTGCTCCTGCAACAGCCCCTCCTCTGAGAACCTACTGTGTGCAGAGTGTCTCAGTCCATGTAAGCTGCTATGACAAAAATACCACAAACCACGTGGTTTATACACAGCAGAAATTTATTTCTCACAGTCTGGAGGCTAGGAAGTCCAAGATCAAAGCACCAGCAAATTCCATGTCTGGCAAGAGTTCACTTTCAGGTTCATTGATGGCACCTTCTCACTGTGTCCTTGCCTGGAGGAAGAGGCAAACCACAGCCTCCCCTAAGCCGCTTTGATAAGGGCACTGAGTGCAAAGCCCTTATGACTTAATCACTGCCCAAGGGCCCCACCTCCTCATACTGTCACCTTGGGGGTTAGGATTCATTGTATGAACCTGGGGAGGGACACATCCATAGTCCACAGCACAAGATGTTGGGGAGGGGAGGTGTATGCTGAGGTCCAGCTCACAGAGGGAGGGGAGCCTGGTGCACCACCAGTGTAGATTACAGAGGATAAGTGCAGTGGGTGTGGGGGATGCTGCAGAAGCCGGGGGCCACACTCACACAAGTCTGAGGGGCCCTCCTGTAGGTTTCTAGGTGGGGGAAATGGCATCAGAACAGAGTCTAAGATGAGTTAATGAAGTCTAGAGGGGCTGGTGGGGCAAGAGGAGGAGGAGGGAGTCACAGGAAGGGCTGAGCAACTTGGCATTCTTGGGGACCTGCAAATGGTCCTCATGTCTGGCACCCAGGGAGGGGTTGGGGGCTTGGGGCAGGGCCAGGAAGCCCAGGACCTTGTGTGTGTGCCCAGAGCACATGGTGCACAGTGGGTCTTAGCAAATACTGTTGCTGAACGAAAGGATAATACTAAGCCTAAGGATTTTAAGCCAGGGAGTCACGTGGTCAGGTTTTTCATTCAGAAAACTCACTCTGGGGTGGTGGAGAGAAGATGTCCAGAGGGGGCCAGCTGACATGACACAGTGACTCAGGGGAAGGTGGACAGGGAGGGTTCAGGGTCATGGTGATCAGGGTGCTGTCATCCCCAGGGTGTCAGGCCCAGGCAGGAGTAGCCATCATAGAGGAAGGATGAGGTGGGATCACCAGGGTAGGGCTAGACTGGCTAAGACACAGTACAGAGATGTGGAAGAACAACCCAAGGGGTGGCAAGTCTGCTGGCTGAGGAAGCAAGGAAGAAAGTTCCAGGCCCTGTCCACAGGCACCCAGGCTGGGAAAGGCAGAGCAGCCTAGCTACCATCCGTTCTGCAGAGCAAAAGACCACGTCCAGCATCGTGCAGGCCGCCGAGGACAAAGCCGGTGCTAGACTCAGTGTTTGCTGATAAAAATGTCATGAGGCTCTCACTACATGGTTCTGCCTCCCTGGAGGAGAGCCTCCTGAGCAGATGTGTCCTGGAGAAACCCCCTCTGAGGTCACACATCGGTTGACACTCAGTGAAGAGGCAGCAGGGAGAGGACAAAAACGGTGAGAATGGAGATGGACCTCCTGTCCACTGCAATTCCCCTGCAGGACGAATGCTGGGTATGAATTCAAAATCAAAACTCAGCCAGTGGTGCCACATCTCACTTCATCTCCAGCCTTCCAGCAGAGGACTTTTGCATCCTAACAGCTCCCTGGAGTCCCCCTGCCCTTCAGGAGGTCCTGGATTTCCTCCTTAATGATCCCCAGGACAGTTTGAAACCTGTTCCCAGGAGACAGCAGGGACTGAGAGGCACCGCCAGCCCCTCCTTCGTGCTTGCAATGAAGGCATCCTGCAAGAAGGAATTCCGTGCTCTTCCACACAACTAGAGACCAGCACCAGTCCTGTCCACAGGCAGGCACCTGTGGGAAAGAAGGCCCAGGTCCTTCAGCAGGTGGCCTGCAAATGAGAGTAGGAGGATGAGCCCGGCATAGGACCAGACAGGAGAGGAAGAGCTGCCCGACAGAGGGCGATGAGCTTGCCCTCCCTTCTCCCAGGCCCCTCTTCCCACCCTCCCAGGTCCCTGCCAGGTCCCTCCCAGGCCACTGACCCCTTTATGCTTCTGCTCTAGGAACCAAGGTTCCAAAGTCCCAAGATGAAGGTACAATTTAGGCCAGGGAGGATGGGGTGTGCCTTGCAGACACCCCGAGGTCTTAGGCCTCCATCAGAAACATCAGAGATGACCCACTTCCAGAGAGTAAGATCAGAAGGGGACAGACTGTTCCAGCCTACACTACAACCCCTTGTCCTTTCATTCAGTCACTCATTTAACACATTCTAAGCACCTACTGTGTACCTGGCATCAGACCAACCTCTGGGAATGAGCAAAACCGGCAGGGTTCCTGCCCTCAGGAGGCTTCTAGCGGGCACCACTGCACCCAGTTTTGTGCCCTTCTTGGAGCCAGGCAGCAGGGGAGACCCAGTTGAATGGCTAGGACCTCTGCCCTCAGGAGCTCCCCGCAGGGGGACATGAGCTGGTGAGATGTGCTTTGCTCAGCATACACGATAGCCTCTACATCCTAAAAGGAAAGGGTTCCCTCGACCTCCCTCTCCCTCTCTTTTCTTCCAATACCCTTTGTACCTCTTTACTGCATTTTAAAACGATGTCTTGCTCTTTTCAGTTGCAATGGCAGTCCTTCTTTCTCCAGAAATTTCCACTCGTGACTGTAACTCTTGAGGAAAGGAGACTGGAGAACTAGGGGCTGGGGCTGGGGCTGGATGGGAAGGTGGCACAGCTCCACCACTTCGATTGTGACCATGGGGCAACACTCTACTCAATCCAGCCTTCTTTTCTCCATGGGGACAATGACTCTTACCAGGTGTGCTGCACAGGCTTTACACCTGATATCTCAGAGAATTCTCCTCTGGACTTGGAAAGGCTGACCAAGGGCCCACATTTCCATGGGTTGAAAGTAGCCAGCTTCACATTTGAACCAGGTTCACTCCAAAGTCCGAAGCCCAAATATCACCAGCACTGCTGTCACCAAAAGCGCTTCAACGAATTGAATCGGGGCCACAGGAGCCCACAATGAGGATTCCTCTCAGAATGCAGAGTCCTGCATGGAAAGTGCTCCAGGCCACAGTTCCAAGGCCCAGATGCCTCTTCCCTCACCCTGTTCTGGGTGGGGCCTCTCCTCCTCCCCCTGCAGCCCATTCCCTCTACCGAAGGCGGTGGGATGCCCAGGACAGCGCACTGTTGTTGTGAGATTCATTTACTCTAATAAAAGTTGAATCTCCTTGGCTCCATTTCCATCCACAAACCATCAATATTTCAGGACTATTGCTCAGCCCTGGGTGGCAGAAATGGCCCCCTCCGTGTCTGAACAGCGGCTTCCAGTTAAAAGTTCACCACAGAAAATTTGATGCCTAATAAATTGGAGCCTTCCCTGCTTTAAATCATTTTTAAACCACGATTGCCTCACAAAATATAATTATTACAAACTGGTCATTTGTAACAGAGAAATCTCATTAAAACGATTCCATGCTGGAAAGGCAGGTGGGAGGGGTAGGCGAGGGGGCGGTGGTGGCGGGGGCAGGCGGGGGGCTGAAGGAGCGGGAGGTCTGGGGAAGGCTTGGAGAGGGCCGGGGGATGCTCTTAATTACAGATTGATTATTTCTGGTGATTGAGCATGGAATATAATCAACTCAACATTTCCAGGCTAGAGCAGAAGGGGTAGGAACAGGCAGGGTGACAAGGATTGAGGAAAATTCTAGACTCTTCTATTCTGAGCTAAGCAACTGATTCAGGGATGGGTCAGAGGGGCATGAACCAGGTGGCAGCAGACTCCCCCTGGCCCTGGGAGGTGTCGGTAGGGCTGAGGAGCTGCCTGCCTCATCCACACAGGAAGGAGGCTACTCTAGTGCCAGAAGGGCTGTGGGCAGCTATCAGGGAGACAGGAGGCTGGACTTGGGGTCAAAGGGCCTGGGGTTAATCCCAGCTCTGCTTCTCTGGAGCTGGTCCTGCAGGGAATTGATTCTCCTAAAGCACCCCAAGCCACATTCCCAGTGACTGAAATGGTCATCTTCCAGCCCCATAGGCCTGCGGGGAACCTCACCCTAGGGGAACCTTACCCTAGATGGTGGCATATATGTAAATTACTTTGCTTGGCTCAGAGAAGACTCTGGGAATCTGGCAAACTTGCATTTCCTGACAAAGATTGTGAGAGGTAGAAAGCTGCTGCGGGACCAAGTAGTGGATCCTATGGTGCATGCCTGTCAGCCCAGGGACTTGAGAGGCTGAGGCAAGAGGATCTCAAGTTTGAGGCCAGCCTAGGCAACTTATTCAGATCCTGTCTCAAAATAAAATAAAAAAGACTGGGGATGCAGATCAGTGGTAGAGCATCCTAGGTTCAATTCCCAGTACCCAATCAATCAATAAACAAACAAACAAACAACAAGACACACTTCTCTTCCAGGGAAGGTCCTGGGGGTTTTCTTCTACCAAGGAGGAAGGAGGTTCTGGCCACAGAGAAGCACCTGTGCTGGCTGCCTGGCCGCTGCTGGGCTCTGGGTGTGGTCACGTAGTTAGTCAGCATCTTGGGTTTGTTTCTTTGTTGTTTTGTGGTGCTGGGGATTGAACCCAGGGCCTAGCAAGTGCTCTGGGTGGGTGCCTCTGCATGCTGTCCCATTTGGGGGTTTTCATCCTCTTCTGTCACCTATCCTGGGCACTCTGGTAGGAGCTGGGGAAGCCACAGGCCCATCTCCTCCATGCATCTGGGAGGCTGCAGAAGAGGCCTGGCTGAGAAGATGGGGGGAGGTCCAGAGCCTCCTAGTTCTGGTCCTCAGCTCCGGGCCTATGGAGACCCATGCCTCACGCTCTCCCCTTCCTTCCTCCAGGCCTCTGCCTTCCAGCCTCGTTTCTGAGGTGACATTCAGCAAAGCCCAGAGTGCCTCCTGTCAGCCTTGGTCATGGGCTTGGATTAGCACTCTGAGAGCAGGACCAGAAAGTCCTAACTCCATACGGCCCTCAGGAACCCCAGGTGGAAGCAGCTCACTGGCTCCTGCATCGTGGTGGGAGCCTCAGTCCTCCTTGGAGGGTCCTTAGGAAAGGTGAAAGCCATTCCCAGGGGACAACGGCCTCATAGCTCCAGGAGGAGGCCACTGACTGTCAACCCAGCTTTATGTGAGGCCAAAGAACAGGGACTGAGGGCATGTGGTCATTCATGGGAGCACAGGTGTACAGAGGGCTCCCGAGCATGCCCTCTATCCTGCAGAAGCTTCCGAAGGGCAGGGACACAGATGCTCCATTTTCCTCTGCCCCTGCCCTACCCCTGGCAAAACCTACACAGAGCAGACACAGATCTCCCCAGACACCCTCAAACCAGACTTCCACCATATACTGGGTTTGAGACCATCATTTCCAACTGCGTGGCCTTGAGTAGGTCACTTAACCATGATGGTAACAACTGTTCTGCTTACTTCAGGAGGACACAAGTTTGGCATGGTGGGATTAACAGGAGTTTGTCCATTGTGATCCTCAGTACTGACTAGCCCTGGTCCTGGTGGGGGAACTACAGGGTGCCAGAGAGTGCACCCTCCTTCTTAGAGCTCTGGCCTCTGATTTCTTTGGTCTTCCCTGTCCGACCCCTGGAGAAGGAGGAGGTGTCCAGGCCACGCCTGCCCCAGGGTCTCCACGTCCCACACTTTTCATATCCCTCTGGGATTGGCCAGCCAACACAGCCCCCTATAGTCTGGACAGTTTGCGGGTGGGAGCCACAGGTGGGTAGAAACCAGGAGCCCAGAGAAGTGACACCTGTGAGCATGTTGGAGCGGCCATGGATGCCTGGGTAGGAGGCCTCCCCTGCTCTGAAATAGCTCTACAGCTCTGTGGGGGGTGGGGGGGACAGACCAGTCCACGCAGCCTGGAGTGGGAGCTGCCTGAGGGTTGCCAGGGAAACCATGGCTGCGGGAGCCCCCAGCCATTTGCCTCTTCACCATGGAGACAGTGAGCTGTGGGCAGCAAGGGTGGCGGAACAGGTGGCCCCCACCACGGGCTTCAGGAAACCACAGCGCAGCCTCGGCCCATCGCTGGGGGGGGGGGGGAGCGGCCCTGGGATCAATTTTCCGATTACAAAACCATGTTCAAATGTCAATTCCTTCTCTCCTGCTTGTGAGCTGCCCCTGCCCATTTCGTCAATCCATCCCCCTCCTCTCTCCTGTTCCTGGCTAGGGTCTCATGCTAGCACAACTCCGGTCTTTGAAGAATGAAATTTGGCAGCAGTCGAGTGCCTAATATGACCTCATCCTGTCTGGTGTTTTCGGAAAAAATCGACTTCTGAAAGGGAGATGGGGTGCTTAGGGTGAGACACCTGGAAACCCAGCCCCGGTGCCTGTGGGCGTGCAGCCCAGCATGGGGATGTCCTGGATGTTGGGTGTGGGGCTCTTCTTCTTGCACCAACCCCAGCCCAGCTCATTACTGTCTCTAAGGAAGACTTTCGGCTTGGCCAGCTGGCAGGTTCCCAAAACTCTTCAAACTTCTCGCACCAACACTTCCCTTCTAGTCCTCTTGAGGTGCAGAGAGGTGGCTGCTGCAAAGTGGGTCAGGGGACTCACAGGAGTGGACTACTTATCCACAGTACCCAGGACAAATGGCTGCCTCTAGGAAGGAAACGTGCCTCCCAGGTCCCCAATCCAAGGCCCACCAACCCTTTCGCACTGCCACCTACGTCCCTGCTCTGGATGACTGGGCTCACGAAAGGGGAGAGGTTCTCAGCAGCTCCTCAAAAAACACCCCAGGCCTGCCTCAGTGGGAGAAAAAGCCCCTTTCCATCTTCTCATCCTGCCCCTCCCACTCATCTGCTCCCCAGGCTCCAGAAGTGTTGGGTTTTGTTTGTTAATGTTGCTCAAGAGTCATTGGCAATTTCTCCGGATAAACAGAGGACTCGGAGATTTAGACCCATAAAACTCACCAATTTATAGGGAATGGTCCATGCCCCACCTACCTCCTCCTACATCACTGCCCTGCCCCTCCACTGGGCTCCTCACACAGGGACATGACCATGCCTCTTGACCCCTCCTACTCAGGTACCAGGTGGTCAGCTAAAATGACCTACCCACTTGACTGTCCCACCCACCCTGGCCATCTGTCCATCTGCCCATCTGACCGACTCTCAGAAGTATCTCTTGCCCGTTTGATGTTCAAGCCCTTGGTTGTGACAATCATATCTGATCATTAATAATGCAATAATAGAATAGTGACTGGAGAGACACTTGGATAATCAGCTAGCACAGGCTCATTAGTGGCACAGAACAATCACAGCGATGTAATAACAGATCCCAGGAAATTTCAATTAAACCTGGAACTTTGTTAGGGTTTCATTTTATTTTCAGCAAGGAGAAGGACAGTGTAATTGCAATCAACTAAAGCCAATGCAAATCTCTTCCAAAAGAGACCCCTTCCCCTGGGTATGTGAGAGAATTAAGCCTCGCTCTTCCTTAGCTCCTGCCCATCTTAATTCTGAGCTGCTTAATGAACTCCTTCTCTGCCCTAAAGAATGTTCCAACTGAGTCTCTGGCTTCACTTAACAACGGGATCATTCTGGCCTCTGGCTGTATGATAAAGAAGCTGATGCTAAGAATTTGCATTTAGTGAGAGCTCAACACGTGCCCAGCACTGTGCTTACTCCTTTATGGGGGTTTTATCATTTAAACCATGATATAGCTTATTGAGGTTCTGATTAATATTATCATCATTTGACCACTGAGTCTCAAAGAAGGTAAGAAACATGCTCTGGGTAACATATTTCTAACTATTAGTGGTGCTGCCAGAATGCAAAGCCAGACTCGCCTAAGTCCAAAGCCCGTGACGGCTTGTACACTCTCTGTTTCATCTCTCTTCTCTCCCTCCTCCTTTTCCTTTTCTCTTCCTCCTTTCCTCCTCCTCCTCCTCCTTTTTTTTTTTTGTTTTTTCTCTCTCTCTCTGTCTGGATTAGGCATCAGGCGAGACTTGAAAATGCTCAAGGAGTGGGGCAACCCAAATACTACACAGCACAGGTCTCTCCTATCAGGTCCTTGGTCTCCAGCCTACAGTGAGCAGCTGGGGAAAGGTTTTCTTGGGTTTTTTTTTTTTCTTATTTTTTTTCTTTTTTAAAATAGCTTCCCTGAATCGTGCCTCCAAATCAAACCACCTAATCAGAATCTCTGGGGATGGAGCCCAAGCATTACATTTCTTCAAGGCTCTTTAAGTTAATTGAAAACCCACTCTGTTGTCCATTTGGAGTGGTGGGTTGCCTGTAGGTTAAACTTACAGGCTTTGGGGCTGGCTCTGGCTTAAGATTTGTGCTATTCATGGCAAAGTATTAACGTATCTCAGTTCCAGTTTCCTCACCTGTTAACCAGGGACCCTATAAGGACCCTGTGAGATGATTGTTGCAAAGTGCTCCGCTGAGTGCTTGGAAAAATGAGCTCTCAGAAAAACTGCTTTAGTTATTTTTTGATTTTTAAGTAAAAATTCTAGTTTTGGGTTGGGACAGACCTGGACTCCAATGCTAGATTTTGGACTTCACTCTGTATGTGGCCTTGAGTTTGACTTCTTTGAGCCTTGTGTTCTCATTGATAAAGAGGGTGCTAATAGTGGCCTCTCAGACAAAGATATAAAAACAAGGTCCCTGATGTTTTCCACTCCAACTACAGCCTGGGTCTCAGCCTGGAGGCCACATGCCCAGCCAGCACAGGGTCAGGTCCAGAGTGTCCCTGTTCCCACAGATTCTGTCCCACACCCAGCCCAGAGGAGCCCTTCCCAGGTGCTCTTGCTTTTTGATAATGAATTTCATCACCCTGAGCTCCACTGCACCAAAAGGACAGGACCCATCATCCACTGCTAGATCAAAGCTGGTCACCCAGGGTGGACAACATTGCCACTGACCATGACAAGGGCCATGTGCCATTTGGAGGGAGAGAAGGAAGCACCTCCCTGGGTGAGATCAGAGTGAAGGGCTGTGGAGAGAGGAAGGGATGGAGGTGGTGGGAGGAGAGAAGAGAGAACATATCCCCTCCCTTCTCCCTTTCTCCACCCTCATCCCTCCCAGCTCATCCACACCCTCACCAGGTCCCTGAAACTCTTCAAGGGGCGGCTGTGGCACAGAGACCAGAACTTCTTACAGAAACTATGTATTGGAATTCTGTTGCTGCCCTTGCCAGGTGAACTGCCCAGCAAGCCAGGACACCTTCATCACCACCCACCTGGGGACATGCAGAAGCCCATATCTTCAGGACATTAATGATGTAATTAACTCTGAGTTCAGGTCAGCATAGCCTGGAAGACCCTTTTTCGGTGATTAGAGAAGGGACAGATGATTCCTGCCCCCCAAAGAGTAATATTAGAGAAAATGAATGAGATTTGACACTGACCTCAGAAGGCACCCCACCCTGCCCCAGGCCCTGGAGGGAAGATGCCCCCTCCCAACTCTGCGCCTCCCTCACCTGGTATTCTGGGCAAGAAGTCGGCCGGTCCTCAGTCCACTCTGAAGTACCCCAAGCTCCATGCAAACGAGAGTCTGTTTGAAGCAAAAAAAAAAAAAAATCCCTTAGCAATTACCTGGAGAAACAGGATGGAGAGTGCTTGGAACAGAGAGAGGAATTTATTTATTTGTTCTCTGTGCTTTGAGTTAGTTTTAAATTGTCCTCCTATAGATAAAGGCATCTCTCCAACCGCTTAGCCCCAGATCGCAGCAGCTAATCTGCATCCGGTGGATCAAAATAGCCTTCAAACCAGATGGAGACCCAGAGCACACTAGGAAACCAGAACCGGTTCTGAGTACTCAGAGTGGGGATTTAAGAGTCACGTGAAGCCTTCTTGGGATTTTCTGGGGCAAGGGTGGGAGGGTGGGGGGGTGGGGGACCAGGGATTTCCAGGACCAGGAAGATGCTGGAGGGAGGAGAGAAGCAGTTAAGGAAGGGAAGCGAGAGCTCTCTCGGACACTCTCGTATCATTTTCTTCCAAACTTGAGTGGGAGCAATTATTCAGGGGGTCAAGCTGTCAGTGTGTCTGCGGTACACAGCAGGAGAATGAGGGCTCTGTATGTTTCCCAGAGACAAATGAAGGAGATTGGGGAAGAGGCATAGGCTCTGCAGCCAGACCTGGTGATGTGCCACCAGCAGAATTTTGGATGACATGATTTGCTCTCTTGAGCATCCGCTTCCTGGTCTGTAAATTGAGACTGTACTGTTTATCTCTTAGGGTTTGGGTGAGGATTGAATTAAAGAATGTGGAACGTCCAAGTCCAGGTCTGGCACTTTAGGAACTGATCAAATGTTAGTTCCCAGTCCCCACACCCATTCTCTGGAACCCATCTTTGGGAAGGGTTTTGGAGAGGATGGTAAACTTTTTGCCTGGTGTAGGAGGAGTGGTTCCATTTGGATCCCTGCACAGTCTTGACACAAACTTCAGTCTCCTCTCTGGACCTGCCTGTCCCTCCCTGGACACCAGGGTGATTTTCAGGTCAACAGATGGGCTGCTTGTTTCCAGAGGCAGATCCTGCAGAGGGCAGGGCATGTCGGTTTTGCTTACCTCTGTATGCCCAGCGCCAAGCACGTGCCGGGCACGCAGCGGGCACTCAGCAAGCACCTGCCGATGGAGGGACTGAGTGAATGAGCCATTGCATCAGACCCTCCCTGTGACTGGAAGAGGACAGAGTGCAGGCATGAGTGTTGGCTGATGCCAAGGATGGAGCTTTGGAACAAGGGAAGTGACTATTATGTTGCCTACAAGAACTTCGCAAAATGTTCCCATCTGGCAGCTCCCCAGCCCCAGACCTGAGTCCCTGGCTTAGGTAACACTCAGAAAGAAGCACCAGCCAGGCTGCCCTGTCTTGGGCTGTTTCCTCTGCTTTCCTCTGATCCCCAGTATTGCAGGACCCCCATGGTGGGGGGCAACCAACACACATGGGGCACCCCAGGAGTAGGAGGATCTCCATTAGTACCTGCAGCCTCAGCTTGTTTCCAGAGACCCTTTTGCCCCTGGCCCTTAATAGCCCTTGGAGAGTTGACCCTTCAGTCCTCCCAGTCCTCAAAATGAGGGAGGAGGAGCAGGGAGGAGCTCCAGGCCTTTGTGTCCCTCGGACATCCTCCCACTCAAGTGCTCACACTTCATGTGAGTTGGCGGCAAAGAGAGAATGAGCAGGAAGGGAGGGCAGGCAGCGCTCAGGAGAGAAAGTGTAGGCTGAGGGCTGAGGGGGCAAGAGGACAGCCACATCCCCCCTTGCCATTGCCAGGACTCTGCTGGCCTGAGGACATGAGGGCAACCCCATCCAGGTGCTCCCTGTCTGACCCCAACTGACCCATCAGGCAAAGGGAAGGGGAGTTGGAAAAACGAGCAGCCCTGACTGCTGGCCTCATCTTGACTTTGTGCTTCAGAATCTAAATTGTCTAAAATTTCTCCAGTGAGTCACCTCGAAAATCAAGAACCGGAAGTTAGGGGAAATGCTTTAGTTGAAATACTCTGCCTCTAGCAAACTTGATCTCTGAATTGGGAATAACAGGAATGATTCTGGTGCTGCAGGACCTGGGTCCAGCCTGGGGGTGTCTGTTTGGGCCTGTTCTCCCACGGCGCAGGAGCTCCTTGTGGGCTGGAGTCGAGTCATTAGCAGTTCTGACCTCGTGTGCCCAGCACAAGGCCTGAGAGGTGTTTGGTGTTGGGACAATGGCAGGAAGTGCAGGTGGGAGCAGGTGCTAGATCCCTGGACAGGGTTCCTGCTGGTCCTGGGGATCCTGGAGCCCAGTTCCCACCCTTCTGGTCAGAGCAGAGGAAGGGACTCCAAGACATCCCACCTGAGCCTTACCCTTCTCACCCACCCTGCCCCACCCAGGGCCCCCTCTGCAACACAGCCCAACACTCCTCACGGCAGGCTGCCCTCCAGGTCCTGGCCTGGCGTCCTGCTCACATGTTTTTCCTCCAGCTGTCCCCTGGGACAGTCAGGACTTAATGAACTACTGAGTTGCCGAGGTAGCCTTTGATCCCAGCAGTTCAGTAGAAGAAATCAATACAATTAATGGAGAAAAATCTAGGTTGCGATGTGGAGATTGGGGTGGGCCTTGTGGCCACGTGCCTGCCTGCCCACCTGCTGGAATTGGAAGAGAAGGCACAGAAGGAATCTGGGCCTGTCTCCCAGGACAGAGCCCTGCCTCTAGGTAGTCAGAACCCTAGGACACTTCCAGACCTGGGCTGGGCAAGGGTCAGAGATGAGAGAGGAGTCTGAATAGGCAGGAAATGCTAGGAAGGAGGGCAGCTGGCTTGGTTGAAGGGAAGCTGGGGAGGGAGAGGGCACAGAGAGGAGAAGATGGGGAGAGGCTGGCGCGGAGCAGAAGAATTAGTGAGCTGCAGCTTGGCAGTTGGCAGTTGGTCCAGTGATCCTTGGAAGCCAGCTTAAAGCCCATGGAGCTTGAGGTAGATGGTGTGGCAGTAAAGGGCACCACGGGGTCCACTGGGATGGAAATAAGTAAGCAGCGCAGCCCGAGGCCCTGAAAGAAGAGAGCCATGACAGTATGCACCCCACACGGTCCGTCTCGCCCGCCCCATGCCAGCCCCAGGTTTGCCATGCCCCCTGCCCCTCGGCAGGCCCCAGGACGGGCCCTGCTATGATCTGTGGGCATCCTCCATCCTTGGTCACAGTCCCAGCCAGGAACACCTAGGTGGAGCCCCACCCAGCACACTCCGCAGGCCAGGCCGGGCCAGCTCTCACACCTGGAGAGGTGAGGGAGAGCTCCGTGAGGCACTCCCTGTCACAGCCACCTGAACAAGGAGTCTGAGTACACAGATGATCCGCGTCCTCCATTGTCTTCCCCCACCTCACCCCAGCTGGGCCCCTGCCAACAGGGGGAGGGGGAGGGGCAGGGCAGGTGTTCTGGGGCCTGGAGCCAGAAGACTGTTCTCAGAGGGGCCGGGACGGGGATCTGACGTCAGGGAAAGGTGCCAGCCAAGGGGGTGCGTGCCAGTGGGACTTGGTGGAGGCAAGTCCCAGCAAGGCCACTTGCTCAAGCACCTGAAACCAGCAGCCTTGTTTCCTCCCCAGCTCTGAACCCGGCTGGAGCTCCCTTGGGACTTCCCACCAAGTCACCCCTGTCCCGGCTAGGGATTGAGATGGGCTCTGTGATGCTTCCCAGGAACTGTGACTCTCATAAGAATAGGACAGACCCTGGGGACTGGGGTCTGCAGTAAGTCTAGAAGAGGTGGCAGAGCTACCGTGGCTTTGGCCAAGGCTGCCCAAGTCACACTTTCAAGAGTTGTGATTCACCAAGGCCAGAGTGAGAACTGGCCTCCAACCAGGAGACTCAGTCAGCTACTCAGAGCCTAAACCTAGGGCAAGTCATGGAATCTCTCCAAGCCTCAGTTTCCTCACCTGGAAAATGGGCATGCTATATCCACTTCCCAGGTTCATTGTGAGTATGAATGGAAGCCCAGTCTGGAGTGTGTAGCAAGGTATCCAGGCACCCTCCTCTGTTCTCTTTTCCTCTTTCCTCCTTCCCTCTCCCTTTCTGGATTTCATTTTCCTGAATTGAAAAAAGAAAGATAAACAGAAGTGGTGTCTATTGTGTCTACTCACCCCCCATTTCCAACTCTTAATTCACTTCAATAATCTCTAGTGGCCCAATGGAGCAATCAAACACATTCTGCATAACACCCCTTCACCACACACACACACACACACACACACACACACACACACGCTCCAGGCACACGGACTCTGCATCAAAAAATAGAATTTCAGCCCTGGGTGACACTTGCCCTTTGAATTTAGCATTCATAGGTTTTTCAGGAACAGTTCTGACTTACACCTGTTTGTCATCCAAACAGTGACATTTTTAGAATGAAAGTGTTGCCAGGACAACAGGTATAAACCAGGAATGTCCTGGGAACCCTATGAATACTCATCAGGACCTGTTCTATTAAGTGAAGAAACTTCTGCCCAGAACCCTGCCTGGGATGCACACCATCATTCTTAGGAGAGCCCTGTGCCCCAGGCTCTCTGCCCCTTCCCTGGCCTGTCAACACACAATGCTCGCTTCTTTCTTCACCATCAATTGCTGCCCTAGTGTCACCTATTTGCTTCTCTGTGTCTCATACTCACCGTGAGCAACTTAGGCATGCCAACTCTGCCTGGCATGTAGTAGATGCTCAATAAATGTGTACGGAAAGAAATACCCACCTAGAAGAGAAAGCTAGGCAGAGAGTAGGGGTTAACATAGCTCCTGGAGGGAGCTGGAAGAAATCAGCTTAACAGTAAAGAAGAGAGCTGTTGTTTCCAACCAGGCAAGTCGGAGCATCTTTGGCCCCCTCCCCTCCACCCTCCATGTGCACAACTCTGCGAATGGCACCTGGTGGTTGGCCAGAGCTGACATCTTCATGCCTGCAGGTGACGAGTCAAGAGGACACTGAGTGCTTTGTTGAAATGCTTTCAGAGTTAGAGACTGTACCCAAAAGAGTGAAGGCAATTCAGAACCACCTCCTGGGAGGGTTCCCCATTTCCCCTCCCTGGCTGCCCCCCTCCACCCCAACACTGGCATCCAGAGTGGGTCCCCTGTATACTCTAGCCAGCTGCCTGGGTGCTGTCACTTGTCAGTTGACAATGGAGAAGGATGTTTCTCTATTTTCTAGCTCAGATGAGCTTTCGAAGACGCTATCTGGCTGTGATATAAATCCATTGAGAAAGCCCTGGAGGGAGCCCCTGCAAAGCCCTAAATTGGACACTAAAAACAGATAAAAGCTGATGGTTTAAAGGCTTTATGTGAGCTCCATTTGGGGGAAGGAATGAAAACAGGGATTTAGTTTGTCCTCTCCTACCACATACTTGGGGCAGCTGTGGCCTGAGGTCTTAAATACTTTGCGTCCCAATTGCATGGATCTGAGGAGTAAGGAGCCAGTGAGAGACGAAGGCACTCCATCTACACAACAAGCCCTACTCCCCAGTCCCCCTTACCCCTCACCCCACAGCCCTGCTCTGACACCAAGTGCAAGGTCAGGACTAAATGACCCAGCCCTGCGCAGCCCCCAGCTGCCCCAGGGAGCACCCAGTGTTTCTGCAGCTCCAGGCCCTGGTCTCCTCGGACCCAGGTGGTGGGTGGCAGGCTAAGCAGAAAGACATTGCTTCCCACCTGGCTTCCACCCCTCTTGCCTCTCTGCCTCTCTTGGTCACTACCCTGTAGCCAAAGAAAATTTGGAATTTGGGAGAATAGAAAGGCCAGAATGAAAATTCCAGAAGGTTTTAGCCCAACACGCAGCACACAGGGATGTCTGGAGTGACGAAGGACACAGGACAATCTCGTAGCCTCTCTTTGAGGTGAATAATGAAAGCGAGGCTATTCCAATCAAGAGGATAGGCCGTCACTTTCTCCAAATAGAGCCTCAGTGGCTGGAGGGGTAATGCCACTCCTGTTCAACTCAATGGTTCTCAATCTACACCCTAGAATTTCCCAGGCAGATTTTTTTTAATCCCAATGCTCAGGCCATGCCCCAGGCTAATCACTCAGAATTTTAGGGCTGAGACCCAGGCAGCAACATTCAAATTGGTTCCACCATTTTCCAGGTGATTTCACTGTGCATTTAATGTTGGACCACTCTTCTAATCCACTAGGCCTGCTAATGAACACCAGAGGGTAGGATCAAGGGCTCCCATCTTTGTCAAATCCCTTCCCACTCCTGCCTTAACTCCCACCCTTTGATTTAGACCTTTAGTGAAGAGATGTCCATTGATGAAGGTCAAGTTAAGAATCTACCCTTCCCTTCCTACTAGGCAGGGTGAGCCTGACACAGGTCTAATCTGCATCAAGATTTGCATGGTATGGAAGCAGTTTGAGGTCATGTCAGATCTGGGCGGGAGGCTGGGAGTCATATAAGCCAACCTCCCTCCTATCTTACAGGTGGGGACACAAAAGAGACTGAAAGTGAGATGTCACCCTCACTGAGATGGTCAGTGAGCACTTATCTGAGTCCTGGATTCTGTCCTTTATGCAATAGTGTCTAGCTTGAGGGTTCCAGATCCTTGGGAATTCTAGCTCTTCCATCAAATGCTGAAGGCCTAGAAAAGCAAAACCTTCTGATTTCTGAAAACCCCTCTATGAATGCGTTTCCGAGGGAGGAGAAGAGGAAGAGTCATAGCACCATGTTGATCAACGCTGTCTAGAACCTTGGTTTTGCCATTTAGAAGCTCTGTGACCTTGAAGGCCATCTTAACCTTTCTGAGTTTCTGTTCTACTTATTTATAAGCTAGGAAAGTATTAATTATCACACAAGGTTGATAAGTAATACTTTGATGAGATTGAGCCTGTCGAGTACTAGGGCCACACCAACAGCTTAGCAAAAGCTACTCATCCCTTCCTTCCCATGTCCTTGTCTTCTCCTAGAATCAAGGAAAAGCTTACTTCTTCCTCTGCAGTGTAGAAATTGTGTCCCCAAAACAACATGGAATCTTGGGGACCTACCCAAGATAATCTCCTGGGTTACAATAGGAAGCGTGGGTTGAGATCCTTCAAGGTTCATAGCATTGCCCTCAGGAAGTCACACCTCTCAGCAGAAGGTTCTGAGTTCCTGGCTGGCCCTGACCACTTGAGATATGGCATGTTCGTGTCCCTTGTCCTAACTGGCCTGGAATTAAAGGGAAATAGTACGTGATTTTTTCAACAAGTCACACCTGATGGCCTACTCCATACTGGGGATAAAGGAGGGACGAGCCACACATGGTCCCTGCTCTCCCAGAGATTCCAGGTGAAGACAAACGTTTGACAAATGACTTCAGTTCATTGATGATTTCATCTGATTTTGTGTCCCCACAGTATTCACATATTAAAATCCTGACCCTCAAGTGATAACATTAGGAGGTGGGAGTTTTAGGAGCCCTCATGAATGGAATTAGTACCCTATAAAAGAGGCCCTATTATGGTCAGAATGTGAGGTGTCCCACACAAGCTCACGTGTGAGACCATGCAAGAAGGTTTGGAGGAGAAATGATTTGGGTTATAGCCCTAACCTGATCAGTGGATTGATCCCTGAAGGATTAACTGAGTGGTAACTGGAGGCAGGTGGGCTGTGGCTGGAAGGAGTAGAGAATGGGAGGCGTGGTTATGGGGTATATATTTTGTTATCTGGAGAGTGGAAATTCTCTCTCTGCTTCCTGATCATCCTGTGAGCTGCTTCCCTACGCCACATGATGTTCAGCCTCACCCGAGCACCAAGGAATGGAGCCCATGGACTGAGACCTCTAAAACTGTGAGTCCCTAAATAAATTTTTCCTCCTCTACAGTTGTTCTGGTCAGGTCTTTTAGTCACAGCAGCAAAAAGCTGACTAAAACAGGCCCCAAGGTTTGCCTTCCCGCTTTCCATCGTGTGAGGACACTGTGGGAAGACGGCTGTATGGATCAGGAAGCAGGCCCCAGCAGACACTGAATTTGCCCGCCCCTTGCTCTTGGATTTACGTCTCTAGAACTGTGAGAAGTACATTTCCATGATTTATAAGCTCCCCAGTGGGTGGTATCTTGGCATAGCAGTCCCAATGGACAAAATTAAAAATGGTAGCTAGAAGTGCGGGTGCTACTGTAATGAACACCTAAAAACTGGGGAAATGGCTTTGGAAGTGGGTAATGGGTAGAGGCTGGAAAGGTTTTGAGGTGCATGCTAGCAAAAGCCTACTCTGCCATGGACCTGTTCTTAAAAAGGCAGGAGAAAGGAAGGCTCAGAAGAAGAGAAGAACCATAAAGAAAATTTCAGTTTTCTTAAAGAATATGTAAGTGTTCATGAATAGAATGTTCAAAGAAATATGGAGGGTAAAGGCCATTCTTATAAGGTCTTAGAAATAAGAGATATATTATCAGAAATTAGAAGAAGGGCAATTTTTATTACAGAGTGGCCAAAAACCTTGGCTGAATTTTGTTCATGTTCTAGTGTTTTCTGGAAATGCTATTTGGCTGAAGAAATTTCTAAGCAAAAGATCGAAGGCACGACTTGGCTTCTCTTCAATGCTTGCAGTAAAATGTTTGAAGAGAGAAATGATTTAAAGATAGAATTTTTAATAAACAGGGAAGTAGGATTTAAAGATTTAGAAAATCCTTAGCCTATTCATGTTGTAAAACTTGAGAACGTGTGTCAGAGAGAAAACACCAAAGTTTGGTCAAAAGGCCAAGTGACCATTTGATAAGGAGATTAGGCATGTATTATCCAGGTGTTATTCATCAAGATAATAGAAGAATGACCCTGAAGACATGTTGGAGATTACTGGAAGTGCCCCTTCTATCTCAGATCCAGAGTGCCAGGCCTGGGAACAGAATGACTTCAAAGAAAAAGCTATAGACACTTGTGGGGCCTGGGGTTTGCTGCCTAGAACCACCTCAAGGCTCTGCTCCCACATTCTGGCACAGCCGGCCTCAGCTACCCCAGGTTTGGCTCCAGCAGTTCCAGGAGTGGTGTGGCCTTGATAGTTGCCCCCAGGAGGGCACAAACAGTAAACTGTGGTGTCATCCATGCAGTGCCACCTCTGCCAGTGCACAGAGCACATAAGTCATGTGGCTACCTGCACCTAGAGAGTTCTCGCCAAAGCAAAGCCTAGCGGAGCTGTGGGCAGAGCCCCAGCAGGCCATGCCAGGCTGGGAGAGCTCCTGGCACCAGACTCCACCCCAGGAGAGCTACAGAGCAAAGCTCTGCCCCAGTAAAGTCATGAGGTTAGGACTACCCAGAACCTTGGGGGCCCAGGCCCTGGCCTAGTATGTCTGGAAGATGAACATCAACTCAAAGTAAAATCAGGTCTTAAGATTTAATGTTTGCTCTGCTAAGCTTCAAACTTACTTGGGGCCTATAACTCCTTTCTTCTTCCCTATTCTTCCTTTTGGAATAGGAATATCTGTTCCACTATTGAATTTTGGAAGCACATCATGTTTGATTTCACAGGTTCACAGCTGGAGAGCAACTTGCTTCAGGATGAATCCTACCTTGCATCTCATCCATATCTGATTTAGATGATATTTACATGAGACCCTGGATTTCAGACTTTAGAGTTGAAATGAGAATAAGGTAAGACTTTGGGGGTTAATGAGATGGAATGGATATATTTGCATGTGAGAAGGACAAGAATTTGGGGTAGGGGGAGCCAGGAATAGAATGCTAAGGTCAGAATGTTTGCCTCAATTCCAAATTTGCATGGATGAAATCCTAACCCACAAGGCCATGGTGTTAGAAGGTGGGGTGTTTGGTCAGGTGATTAGTCCTCAGGATAAAGTGGGGTGAATGTTGCGATGGGGGAGAGAGAAGGAGCTTAAGCAGTAAATAAGGAGACTTGCCCAGACTTGGAGGAGGTCAGAGGAACTTCCTGGAGAAGATGACTACTAACTGGAGAACTGAAGAACAGGTAGGACTCATCTATGAGAATTCCAGGGGACAGAATGGTGTTCTTGGCAAAGGGAAGAACACAGGTGGTAAAGACTACAGTGAAAGAGAACGTTGTGTTTTCAAAGATCTGGCAAATTGAGAAGATCTGGCAAAATGAGAATTGTTGAGAGATGAGACTGGAGTTGCAAGAGTCAGATCATGACTCTTCTGGTCCCGTAGTTCTCAAATTGGAGTGTGAATCAGAATCACCAAGAAGGCATGTTAAATATGGATGGCTGGACCCCACTCCAGAATATCTGATTTTCTAGCTGTGAGAAATAGAAAGTTAGGTGGTCCATTTCCTTAGCCTTAATTGGGACATAAGATCCAATTGTAGCCATTTTAACTATAACACTTCCCTTTGCCCACCCCAGTTTTAAAATTAGCCAATCTTGTAGATGATAACCCTGAGCTCCTCCTGTCAGGGCAAGGAACATCGCAGCCTTAGGGATAAAACTAGGAGCACTGCCTGCTCAGGTGCACTTGCTAGCCAGAGGGGAATATGCCCTCTAGCAGAAGTGAAGCTTGCCTTGCCTACACAATTCCAAGCATGTGTCTGAATTCTCACTGCAGATTTCTAACAGCTGTGGTGTGCAGCCTAAGAATTTGCATTTCCTAAACAGCTTCCAGGTGATACTGATCAGTAGTCCCCAGTACCACTTCGTTCTAGGCTGTGTTAAGTAGTGAAGACCTTAGTCTAAAAGAAAGAAGAGTGAAAACATTTTCAGCTCAGGGGGAGACGTATGCTTTTCAGAGATCTTGCCTGGTTGCAGTATAAAGAAAAAAAAATGCTGTGGAATGAGTGGGTGCCTGCTGGGAGCTGCTGGGACCCCAATGTGTCTGTGGCTCCCCACTGAAATCACAAGTAGATCTCAGTTGAGAAGACTTTCTGCTCTACTTCAAGATAGAGTCCTCTCTTGGGAGAAATTTTTCCATAGGCCTCTTGTGTTTCTGCATATTGTGCTATTAATTGACTGTTTGGAACAAACTTTTCAAGGATATTTGTATAGCAATCAGCCTTGGGAAATAGAGATTGCGTCTCTTCAAAGCAAAGAGAAATTTAGTTTAGTGTCCAATATAAAAAGACAATGTTTCCTTCTAGGGCAAAATGTAAGCCAGCTTTCTTGCCTATATAAATGCTTCAGGCTTCCAGAGCTCAGAATTATTCTTCAGTAGCATAACACACTGGATTTGCAGGTGTCAGCTGACCATCTCCAGTCACCCTGTAGGAATTGGGGTTTCGGAAATCATGCTAGTGCTGACCCTCTGGCTACTGCTATTGCTGAATGTAATGAAGTCCTTTGTCTCTGACCCAAGAGTCTCATGTCTTCCACCAGCATCCATGAAACTATGGCAGGCTAACTTGTCAGCTTGCAATTGGATAAAATATGAGACTCTCCACATCCTCCTATCGCAATGGACAAAAGTGCAACATCTGCAAGGGAGAGATAAAGAATGTCCACGTGTTTCTGCCCTTTTCAATGTTTTATTACTCAAATCACTTAATACAATTTCATTCTATATGTTCTTAATCAAGGAATGACAATCCTGAATGCTAGGGGCATTGCAATAGACATAATCAATTCAAAGCAAACAATTCTAAGTTAACTCTAAGCACTGCAAACACACTTAATCAAGACAGACCTATTATAGACATTCCCTCTGCATACTTAGCTTAAGTGCTAGATTTAAAGTCTTAAGTCTTAGGTCTCAAGTCCATCAGATGCATACTCACTCAGACCTCAGCGGCCAGGCCAGGAACCGATAGAGGCTTCTCCTGAGGTGGAGTTGATGGCTGGCTGAGGAGACGGTCATAAGGACTTTCCCCACCAGAGTCAAGAGGCTGCTGTAGAGTTTGAGAGTGGTGAGGACAACGCAGAGGATCAGGCAGATGAGAAGAGTTGTGATGTCAGTCCAGGTCCTCATCAGGCTCTAGGCTGATGTGCATCAGTGTCGGCTGGCTGAATGTCCTTTTGCTCTATTTTTTTTTTTTTAAGGATAGAGTGAGAGAGGGAAGGAGAGAGAGAGAGAGAATTTTTAATATTTATTTTTTAGTTTTCGGCGGACACAACATCTTTGTTTGTATGTGGTGCTGAGGATCGAACCCAGGCCGCACACATGCCAGGCGAGCGCGCTACCGCTTGAGCCACATCCCCAGCCCTTGCTCTATTATTTATACTAAATTTTGGGGCTTCTCCCACCCTTTGGGTTCCTGTCAGCTGTTAACAGCTTTCCTAGTGACATCCTGCCTCCTAGAGTCAGGACATATGGTCTGGTGTTTTCCACCTTGATATCACACTTCTGACTCTTTATCAGGGTTACAACAAATGACAGGTGACTTCACCCTGACTCTTACAAGGATTGTGGAAAGTGACTTGCTTTTATCAGGCTATGCCTGTTAGACATATTGGAGGGCTCTGTGGCTTGCCTAGTGAGACTGCAGGTTTATTTTAAGATGAAGTTTTAAAACGGAGTTGCTTAGGCTAAGGCCTGAGGCCATCCTGCCCCCTCCCCATCCTACTGCCCCACTCTGCCTCCTTCAGTGGCCTCTCTGGCCGACCTTCCTCTACACACAAAGCACATCAGCCCAGCAGATACGCTGAAATAGTCAGTTGTCACAGGCTCCTCCAAGGAGCATTGCAGCAGTATTATCTGCATCCAGGCTCCATGTTTCCCTGCAAGTGGGCTTTCTCTTAGCCTCCCATCCCCAGGAATCCTGTGTCAGAGGGCAATAGCACAGTTTTCTTGACCCACCTTGACCTTGGGTTTTCAAAAATCAATGGGTGCTTTGGCATCCATCGTGGTATTTTATCTTCCAAACCATGCTACAGGGGACTAGCAAAGCTTCATCTCACAGGAAGGGAAACTGAGGTAGGCAGACAGCGAGACTCATTAGCGGGGCAGGACCAACTTCAGACTCTGTGCTCTTTTCACAATGCCATGGTGTTGCTCGTTTTCATGTTTTAATGTCAACCTGAGCCGAGCATGATTAGGTAGGTAAGGCTTGATAGAAGAAAGGGGAAAACCCTATAAAGCAAAAGAGGAATGGTTGGAAATTACATTAGCATTTATGATGGAGAGCTACCTGTGTGTGCATTTCAACATTTCCAGGCACAGTTCTCACCCAGTGCAGGGAACAGAGCCGTGAGTCATAGTGCACCCTTAAGTAGGGGTGAGGCTTGGGACTGGAGGATGTTCCCTTTTAATAGTCCAGTGGAAAGGAGCGAGCCTCCCAGGTGGTGATGGTGGAGGGAAGGCTGCAGGCTCACTCCAGGTAGCCCGTTGTTTTTGAATTGTAGATTGCCAGGTTTGATTGGAAAGTCAGAAGTCTAGCCAGGCCCCCTGCAGACCTATTTATGTGCAACTGGTCTCCTCTCTGAGAGGAAATAAACATCAGAGACTGACTACCCAACCTGCCTGACACAGCCCTTCCTGTAGCCAAAGCAGCTGCCACGATGGAGCTGAAGCTGAATATTGGGGGGTTGCAGGGACCCTAAACAGCTCCCTGTGTGCTATCTGAATTTCCTTTCCCACCGCCACATGAAACTTTTAGCATCTGCCTCCTCCCCAGCAGCTCCTGTTAAGCCCCATCCCTTCTTTCTCCTCTACCACTTCCGTTTCATCTCTAAATGATCTAATATTAATGTTCTCGTCATTACAGTGTTCAGAGGAAAAGAACGAATTTCGTCCGCAGAGAGAGGGAGTTGAGGAATTAATATAATATTTGTTCAGGATTGATTTCAAGCCGTAATCCTTGCTGCCAGAGAGACCCATCTGTTTAAAACTATCAGACACTAATTACCTAGCTCGTGAACACAATAGCAGGATTGAGGAGTGATGTCCTGATACTCCCCCACACACTTGCAATTTAGCATTGTTATTTATTAGAGGGAAAAAAATCTCTCCGGGAAGACGGATCTCCCATCCTCTTGACTGGCAGAGGCTCCCAGAGGGCTGAGCCCAGCATGAACAGGCCCGGAATTTCTTGATCAAAGAATCCCAGGAACTGCATTCATCTGGCTATAAAGGTCAAATCCATTCCAAATTCATCCCCTCTCCCCTTTCTGACTCAGTCCAGACTCTCCACCAAAGCTCCTTTTTGGTAAGGCTTAATAAAAAGACTCTGGGTAAACCACGGTTCAAACTGCTGATTCATCCTCGCATCTTCCCTCTCCTTCATCCTCCTGAGGAATCAGACGCCGCGGCCTGCAAGGTCTATTTCCACCACCGCCCTCCTTTCCTTTAAAGGCTAGCATGTTGTGGATGTCCACCTCTGGTCTCTCTCCCCTTTTAATCAGTATCTGCTTGCAGCTATCATGATCCTTGTCACCAATAGAGATGGAGGAGGAGGGAGAGGAGGAGGAAGGGGAAGAGGAAGGTGGAGGGAGGAGAGGAGGAGGAGGCCGAGGGGAGGAGGATGGGGAGGAGGAGGCAGCTTTGGCATAGCTGATTTAGTCGTTCACCTGTTCAGAAATCTTCAATGGCTCCCCTTGGTCACCAACTAATTGGATATTTAACACCCTCCAAGTTCTAGCCCCGAGGCCTTTCCAGCTGTCCTTGTGACTAGTCTCTTCATTCTGTGAGTGAATAATCTGGATCAAATGAACAGCTCTAGTCTCCACATCCCACATTTGTGGCAGAATGTCTGGCTGTCCTTCCTAGCATTAAGTTCACTCTTACTGCACGAAGGGTTGGAACCCCTCCTGCCCTGCAGGATCTCCCCCTCTCCCCAAGCACAGGGCCATGCTTCAGGGCAGCTGTCATTTGCCTAATAAGTTCACATTGGTCCGAGGAGTCTTGAAAACTCATTACGATTGGTGAGCTGTATGGGACCCCTGAACGAGGGGATGCTCATTAACCAAAAGACATGGTTCCTTCTTTTATGAAGAAGAACATGTGCAGCTGGGAAGACAGACCGTAAGTGAAGGATAATTTTGCATTTATGACAGTACCAACTACTACTGCCAAGGGGCTCAGGGTGCTCCTAGGAGGCACACCTAGCCTGGGGTTGGGGACTATCTCTATGAAGAAGCAATGTTTAAGGTTAAGATTATCTAGACAAGGAGAGCAGAACAACATTTTCATTTTTATATTTTATCTGGAAGAAAAAGCATTATTAAGGAGCCTTAGAGACCATACACAGGTTCTGGAAATCTCCCCTTGGTAGAGTTAGAGTTTAAAGAAGGGAAAAAAAATTAAAGCAAAGAGTGGGAATGGGGACAGAGCCACATGACTGGAAACCAGTAAATGAGTTAGGCAGCTGCTATGGTTCGAAGGTCCCCAAGACCCAGGTGTTAGAGGCCTAGTCCTCCACACAGTGTGGGTAGATGGATCTTTAAGGAGTGAGACCTAGTGAGAGGTTCTTAGGTCAATTGGGGTTGTGCCCTCAAAAGGGATTATGGGACTCCAGTCTCTCTGGCTTCTTGTATCAAAATGTAATCTCCTGTTCCCACTATTGCAATCTCTCATGATGTGACACAGCCAAGAGAACCCTCTGAGCAGATGCCAGCACCAAAACCTCTAAAATTGTGAGCCACATAACCCTCTTTTCTTCACAAGTAGTCTGCTTTGGGTATTTAATTCTAGCAACAAAAAGCTGACAAATTCAGAAATATTATAAGAGTTTATATTTGAGGTGATGATAATCTAGGCTGGAGAGAAGAGATTGGATAAGAGATATTGAGGAAAGAGAATGGCTAGAACTTAATTTCCAATGGGCTGTGGGTTGAAGAAGAGAGAAATTCAATGACTCAGTTTTCTAGGCTCTGGATAAGTGGTAGGGTCATAACCAGCAAAGGATGTTTTAGGAGCAAGAATAAATGGGAGGTAGGTCAGAAAAGGAGTTCCATCTTGATTGCACTAAGTCTGACCTACTGGCAAGATATTAGAGGGAATATCCCAGCCCTGTCATGGGACCTGTCATGGTGTTCTTTATAACTGCTCCATCAAGGTACAATTGACATAAGAGCAACTGCATATATTTAAGAGGTAGTTTGACAAGTTCGTGTGTGTGTGTGTGTGTGTGTGTGTGTGTGTGTGTGTGAGAGAGAGAGAGAGAGAGAGAGAGAGAGAGAGAGAGAATCACCACAGTAAAAATAGTGCTCCCCCCAAGTTTCCCCAAGCATAATTGTAATCCTTCCCTCCCACCCACTCCCCAGGCAAACCCTGATCTGTTCTGATTATGTTGTGTTTTCTAAAGTTTTACATAAATGAAAGTGTACAGAATATATGTACCTTCTACAGTCTTTTGTGTGTATCTTTTTCATTCAGCACAATTGAGAATCACCCACGTTTTTAATGTTTCATTAATTCATCCTTTTTATTAATGAATACTATCCTATTGATTGACTACACCGCAATTTATCTATTCCCCTACTGATGGGCACTTGGGTTGTTTCCAGTTTGGGATTATTAAAAATAAAGCTGCTATGAGCCTCCTTATACAAGTCTTTCACCTGGTGGAAAAACATACATTTTCTTCTCTCTTGGGTATATACCTACAGTGGATGGTGTATACCATGGTTTCCATAGCCCAGTGAAATTCTGACACTGGTTACTTGACACACATGCCACAGATTAAGGGCACAGTCCCCAGAAAACTGTCCTCACTTCATATGCCAGCTGAAGTTTGGGGATTCCCAAGTTCACCTGCACTTCTTACCAACTGGCTGCTAATTCAGGGGTTCCCACAACTTTTTCCAGCTTTATAATTACCTACACTGATTTATAAAACTCTGGAAAGCATCCATTTATAGATTTATTATAAAGGATACAAGTTAGGACCAACTAACCAAATGAGGAGACACTCTGGGTGAATGCAGAGCTCCCAGGTCCCCTCCTCCCAGAGTCAGGACACGTCACTTCCCCTGTACACCCCTGTGTTCGCCAACCAGGAAGCTCCGCTGAGCTTCAGAATCCAGAGTTCTTCCTGGGATCTCACTACGTAGGTGGGATTGGC